TGTGATGAATTCTCATTGCTGTACTTGAAATCATTTCACTTCTGAGCAATGCACATCTCGTACTGCCATTTTGTGCGATTTCCAAAAGAACTCGGATACGTGGCGTATCCCAAAATAGTCATCACAGCCGCGTGATTCATAACACCTATTCACACTCAGCGATCAGAGTTTCATTGAAAACGTTTTTTGTGGCGGTGCAAAAAGGAAAATGGATATATATTGAAGAAATTCCAAGTTCCCAAAAAATCTTATTTGAACAGAGTTAATCTGAGAAATTGTGAAAATTGAGTTCGGATAATTTTATGCTGATTCCATCTTCTCTCTTCGTAGAATCTCGGCATTATTGTAATACCCTAAAATCCCATAGATAAGAGCGGTCCATAGATATTTTTTCAAAAATAAAATAAAAATAAAAATATTTTTTCAAAATCATTTTTTACCGGTAAATTAAACCGCTCTTATCTATGGAATTTTACTGATCGAATGGGCTCTTCAAGTTCTATCCAGAGATCAAATTCCGGCATTTCTAGAGAGATTCCGGCAGAAATTCCGTTAAAATCGCTATTTTTCTATATGAATTGTTTATTAAGTGGGCGGGGTTTAGAGTTGAGGGACGGAGCTTCTTCTAAACTTCTTCTCCGATTTTTATTTATCCATCCATCAAGTTAGAGGGGTGACTGCATTCAATTTCAATTTCATTCCAATTCATTTTTCACCGGTAAATTAAACCGCTCTTATCTATGGGATTTTAGGGTAATAATTTTATTCTTCTGACAACAAGCCTCTTAGGTGGAAACTTTATTAGGTGCTTGATGTTTCGACAAGATCATCTTCCACAAAGGCCCAGTCCAGCCACCGCAAGAGTAGAATAGCTCCACTCCGGTAGTTACATACTATGGTTGGTAACTCCTTGAGGAAGACGATCTCGTCAAAAAGCCAGTGCACTAATAAATTTTCCACCTAACAAACCTAGTTGGCAGAAGAACATATATTGTGTGCTGATATTTGTCCTACTTTGTTTCTTTCTTTGGTTCGAAATCACGTCAAGACAGTTTGCCAATTATGGGCCTTTAGATCAGCGTTCTTTGAGACGGAACGGACAAGTGACGAGCACTTGCTTACATTCATTATGGAGTCATTCCCACGCGATGTTTGTGGTCTGAATTTCTACGATCCACAAGAAGCGGATGAGTTTCATCGGATACTCGTCGAAGAAAACCGAGGTCGGTGGGAGTCAGTCGACGTGAGCTGCCTATTTGAAGTACCCTTGATGATCGTGTTATATTCAGGGCGAATCTCCAGAGGAGTCAACCGGCCGAAACGGCAGGCACCACCACCTCCGTCAGTGGTGAGTCCCACCTCATAATATTATTTGTCATCTGTAATTTCTGTCGGAAAGCTGTTCTATTCCATCAAAATGTAGCTGACGCTGTTTGCGTAAGGTGGTGGGGAAGGAGGGGCAGGGAGGAGGGGTAGCTTCGGTGCAATAATTCGTGTGGACAGTGAAAATTCTAAATTTGCACAGGGGTGTTCTGAAACTACGAGTTTCGTTCCAACACAACTTCTTTGTTTTTCATCTTTAATGGCATCTGGTACCGCATAGTGAAGAGAAGGATTTTGAGCTACAGTATGAAGATTTCTCCGAAGAAAGGAACTTTTGCTTGGGTTATCGGATTTCCTTGCCGAAGAAGGTCGTTCGGTGGAAAAAAAAAACTTAATTCGTGCACCCTGCTCCAGCTTTTTACCCTAACTTGGTCTGGGGCTAAAGGGCTAAATTTGCCTGGCTTAATATGGAAATCATCTATTATCAACTTCCCCTCCCCCCCTTTGTGTAAACAACTCAACATAATTTCTCTAACCAATCAAGAAACTGAATTATTTTTACCCATTAAAAAATTCAAATTCGAAATATCTATGCAATTTGTAGCTAGATATGAACTTCAATAGATATCCCAGACAACCGAAAAAATGTGACGAAACAATCTACCACGTACTTCCTCGCGTTAACCGTTTTAACTCCCAGAAAAAAAAAATTCGGTGCACCAAACTTCGTCCTACGAAAAGCCTTTGTGATTTAGTTGATTTTTCACAGTCTCAGCTGATCTTGCTTCGGAAATATTTGCTGATGACTGGACGTTCACTAAACCGACTGACCGAGAAATGTTGGTAAACATTGATTACAAGCGCAAAATTTTGTCGTAGTCAGCAAAAGACAATAACTTCCGCTGAATCAGTAAACATCGATTGACGTCGCTTACGGACCGACCAAAGTGCTTATTCATTTGTTAGGTATCCCGAAGGGGACACAGAATCCTGATTTCAGGTCAGCGGCTTGGAAGCGATCGATCGGCTCACCGAACCCTGTAAGTTGCCTGCTTTCCTATTGAGTAAACAAGAATAGCACTGAGTAGCATCTAGGTGAACTAAAGCATCGTGCAGACCTGCGCTAGTGCAGCCTTTGAAGAGCAGCCTTGTCAGTGACCAATCTTTTGAGGCGCACCTCACAGTTGATTTCCATTGAGTACTAGGGCATTGTGAATTCGCTTTAAAGTCGGCTTTTATAATGAAAAGGTAGCCTATTGGAAATAAGGGTGGGTGTGGTCAGCGGAGCAGGGATGAGAAGAAGCTATGTGAAACGTCAGGGACCAGAGAAATAGGACCCCTTCCTTTCCCGTTGTTTTTCGCGTTGATGCAACTCTCATGGCTGCGCTCTACGCTCTCGCTGCTATCTAATCACTCGGCACACATATAGCAATTGCTGCGCTAAAGGGAAAGCCATGTTAGATCGCCGGGATATACCCGGCGATGAAAATGGTGAGTTGGACCTTACCCTTAGGGGTCCGCCCGTCTCTTCACTAGGTAAGTTCCCCCCAGGGTCAATCCTACGTTGTTACTAGTAACAACGGGGGGTCGTACCTGGTTGAGTTTATAGGAGGGGGGTCGTATCCGCTTCAGTCGCGTGAAAGTACATGTGAGTTTGTGGTGAAAGTGGAGTTTTCACGAGTAGTAGGCTAGGTGAGTTGGGAGCGCATGGGAGAAAAATTCGCCGTTTCAGCGCGCGTATATATGCCCCCCCCCTACATTTGTGATTGTCCGCTAGGAGTCTATGCTGCGGACGGAAGGCTTACGGTCTCAGAGTGACTATATACCCCCCGCTCGACGGCATTTTTGGAGGAAAAAGTGGGGGAGTTTGTGGGTCGAGTGATACCAGAATGAAATACTATAGCGAGGAATATGGTGGTCGAGGGTCGAGAAGGGGGTCGTACCAAATCCACCTTTGGGGAGGGGGGTCGTAAAAAATTTTTCGAAAAGTAGCAACGATAGGACCGACCCTGGCTGGAAGGCTTCGGTGGTGCCGAGCAAGGACCGAGCACAAGTTTGCTCGCCGAACCACACACACTGTTCCATTTCTGCAGTATAGTTAAGGCACTGCATGGGAGTGGCAATGTTAGTGGAATTATGGTCATTGTTAGTCAGCAGCTATCCATTTTTCTAGATCATACCTAACTTGTTCGCAATTTTGGCCCTTGACCAATTCACGGCGCAAGTCAAGTGTGACGATGACGACATGGCACATTCTCACAAGGCTGACCAGCGCTTTTACATCCTAGCACCTTCCAATGGCCAACTAATAGTATCTATTTTTCCTTGCGCCATTTTGATGTTGTTGATTAGCCTCAGAAGAATAGCCTTTGCGGGAGTCAAGAGTATGACGGATTGCTATGCTTAGTAAAGCTTCTAATTTGTAGCGCCTTCAGTTAAAGATTCTGATATTTACTGCCTTCATCTCTAAATTTAATCTTATTGCCAAGCTAACATGCTGCTCCAATCGATTACGCAGCGAGAAAAGGAGCACCGAAAATTTGTGGCTGCATTCGAAAAGTTCGTCTGACTTACAAATGCGAGCAGATTGATGTGCGCGTTGTGTGAGATGGGTGTTTTCTTCGGAGGATTGTTTACGGATGAGAAAAGAAAAAGGAGTGTAATATGAAAACTCGACATCCAGTGCTTCCGCTACATTTTCGAGTAGGGCGTTAGCGGAGTCTAGCTGTCCTCCGAATGGATCAGTTCCTCAGAAATTTTTCATATAATTTTCAGGCATATCGAGCATCTTGGTCTGGAAGAGCTGTCGAAAGAAGATCAAGAAACCTTCCATCACCTGATCAAGGCTGTGGATGTAAGTTCTAAGGTTTACACACATTTTCTAACACATCGGCTACAATGCGATTTTTGCGTCTCCTCGTGTAGGATCGCGCTGAGTGTTGTGCGAGTGGGGGTGATGCGGAGAGAGAGATGGGAAGAAAAAAGAAGCGTGAAGCGTTATACATGTAGAATGCCTATCCCCCGCCCCCCCTCTACCTCCAATAGTTGGGTGTTTGAATGTTGGGTACAGGAACCGGTTCCCCCCCCCCTTGAGTATTTTTACATCTCGAATCTCTGTAGATCCTTCTGAAGCAAGCGTAGATCTTCTCGTTTGGCTCAAGGAACGCTCCGGAACATGCTAGAAAAAACACCATTATTCCAGTTCAGAATCCGTAAATAATAGAGTTGGATATAACTCTCTCTTTGAAAAGTTGTATTGGTACTCCAGCTAACTCTAAGAACAAAACCAGCTGTTTACATTGTTGTCTATGAAGTGCGAGAGCTTGGCTGTTGGGAAGTCACTTTTGGAATTCTTTTGAGTAAAGTAACCACTCACAAGTCATTCCCAAACCATGAATTCCAATAGAGTTATTTGCTCATAATTCTTCCTCATATACGAGCTATTTTTTTCATTGAATTGAAAATTGTGTACAGAAGAGTTTTTTCGAGGCTGGCAATCCTCACATTTTTGACCACATTTGCCTCACAGGACAAAAAGCTGGGCGGCCTCATCTAGTCGCAATTCTGCCAGTGGTTCATGCCTCTTCAAGAACTGATCCGTTTGTGATGAGGAGCCGTTGATTGCTCGACGCGTGTTTGAGGCTGTGCGTGTATGCAACGTGCGGACTGTTGGCGATCCTCATCTGTACTCTTCTAACTAGTCGTGCGGACAATGCTATAAGGGCTTATGCCAGAGCCTGAAACTGGAGCAAGTAGAGGCTCCACAGTGGAGCGACTGGCAGCGCGGGGCGGGTGTGATGCGGAAGAGAGTGTGTGGAGAGATTGCAAGAGAAGTGATGAAATGCTGGAAATAAAGGCCAACTATTAGCAGTGAGTGGAGTACGACGTAGAATAGTGAGCATCCCGAGCTGTTACCCTTAACGGTTCCCAAGTGTGCCAAGTAAATTAGCTCGTCTCGAATATTTGAATGAATTGCTAAGCTCGGGACATTGAGGGTACCGCCGTCGTTCACCACCTGGGTGGCGCGTCTGCGTGATGCAAGCTTCTCGGGGGCGGTGATCTGCGTTGGAGAGTCGTTGCAGTTTGCATGTCTCGATGATCGGAGCAATGGATAACGTTGTTGATAGGAGATAAGAAATGTGCGCAATTTCGCTCGCCGAGGGTATACCTCGGAAGGCTGCTGACTTCGGTTTGCCCGGACTGGGTACCAGAAATATTCAAGTGTGGGCAAATCGTGTGTCAGGACCAGCGTAGCAGGAAGTTTTTCGAGGGGCATGTTCTTCGACTGTGAACTGGGAGTGTTGCTCATAAATCGATCTTTACAATACTGCCTTATGCTAGAGTGCGCCCATGTCATGGGTGGTCTCTGTTCCTTCTCGATATAGAAGCGATGCGACATGTGGCTAAGGTGAGAGTGTGTGTTGATTGGGCCTAACAACTGCTGACTGCGAATGTGATTTACTTACTTTTACTGTTATTTTAACATTAGGTTTATCAAGGGTCACTTACCATCGATGCTACATAATAACGACAAATGTTATGCACAGCTGTGCTAGAGAAATGGAATTTGCTTCAACACTCCTGTGGCCAGTGCTAGTGTCGCGTGCGGAGTGAGCTCCCTTCCTTAGCGAAACACATTCTTCAGCTCAACTCTGTCAAGAAGGAGTTGGCGTAGTAAAATGCGACGCTTCTTATTGAAAGTCTCTAATTTCTTATTGAGTTATTATTTTTCATTAAATGGACAGGCGGGAATCTAGTCTGGATCGAATTTCGTCCATGCAATCTAGAGAGCCTCCAGCACGTTATAGTGAGTGTGTTTCTAGAGCTAGTGTGCTGTGCTAGGGGTACAGGTGTAGAGTGTAGCTGCTGCCAACTCGCTGTGGTAAGCCAACATGCTCAAATTTCACAGCAGTGTGTCGAGTTAGTGTGGTGGTGCGCGGAGTGCGCAAAAGTGTGGAGTGAATGGCTCAACGATTCAATTTTACAATAGTCTCGTGTTTTTACTTTGCAAGAAGATATCATTCAGATTGAACCCGGTAACGAGGAACAAATGCAGCTTCTTCGCAATATTGTTGCCACAAGAGGCAGTGAAGTGAGGAGTTCTATGCGGATCAAGGTGAGTCAACTGTATTTCTTATGTGAATGATAGATATTGATCTACGAATGGCCACACTGTCTCATGTCTATTTATCTTTCCCCTTTTCTAGACGCTTTTCTTTCCGAAATGTATTTGGGATGAGACCAAGGGTGGAAACACTTCACCTTCCCTCTTACTTATCCATTTCCTGTTTTCCCTTCATTCTCCGCCCTCTTCCTCCAGTTTCGCCTCTTATCCATCCATCAAACTACTTAACTCCTCTAAGTGGACTATGCCGCCGTCACACGTCCAAAGCCGATCAGCTACTTCACAGCAAACCAATCCTGTCGGCCGTGTCTCAAATCTCCTACTTCTGGTGGATTTGTTTTTCTTTTTTATCAACCATTCCTGTTCCTTAGCGCATGTCCTCAGTTCATTTCTAAGCCGTACGCTGATCGCTCAGACGGCGAACGCCTGTTGATGCCCCAGAAATCACGCCATAGAGGTGTTTATCATAGCACTGCATATGGGTGTTCTTCTTCTCGCTACGACCCACATAAGCCTTATCCCGTTAGAGATTCGATTTTCCTGAACCCAAACACACCTGTGACGGGATCGCTCCTTCTCTATGATAGCATGCATCATTTGCAATCATTTCCTTTCTAACACTTCCACGTCCCTCTCATAATATTCAGCTCCAAGAGCCACAGTCCCCTCAATGCGTAGATCGTGAAACGTGGGTTTTCCTCACAGTGCTCAGTTCGAGTGAAATTTCCAGCTAATCCGCTTCCTCCTTCTCCTAAACAGCTTTGACCGGCTATCCCTCAACGATTTTCCCTTTAACTTCTCGACACTCTTTCTGCCTATAATGCTTCCAAATGACTTCTTAGTCCTAATAAAGTTCTTCGGCCAGAGGATATGCCTCCTGAAGTAATGGAAATAGATAAAGCCGCTTACTAAGTCCGACATCTTCACATTAAAAGTGACCTCCAGAGCTTAAGCTTCGATTTGTGAACAGACCGCTCCAGGTGCCACTATATTTGCTAGAATGTGAAATGCTGGATTATTTCTCATCTTTTTCCAACAAAACCAATATTTGTTCGGTTATCCGGAGTGTTGCCTAGCAATATTCGTCGGGCAACGATGCCCGTAACTGGCTGCTGTATTTACTGACTGACTCTGATTGACTTCCAGCGGGATTCTGTTCACCCTGGCGAGTCGTTCGTTCGTGGCAACACCCACACAACGTTGGCTGAGTCGAGGAATAGCATGTGAGTATTATCTAGTGGATTTCGTTGACTCATCTTTCTTTAGCGCAGTAACGAACATCACTACGGATAATATCTTACAGTAAAGGTCTACATTTCTGCGTTCCATTATGCGCAGGCATCGACGTTATACCATTTCTCCGGAGCATTTGGGTGAATGCAAATATTATTTACCAATAACTTTTGCATGCTTCTTACATGGAAAATTGTTGCGCAAACCTAATGAGTTACAGCATTAGGAGACAGTATTTCAGGATGGTGGTCCACAAGCAACAACGTCGGACCCCTCGTGAAGTGAAGAAAGGCTCAGTACAGGTAAAACCTCCACTTTTGACTCACAACACAATCAGTTACTCAACTGTATATAGGTTACGAGGTCCTAACGATGAACTTTATGTATTGGGCTTTTTGGAGTTGAATTTTTCAGTTGGCAATGCTCTTTCAAAGAAAAAGGAAAAACAGAAGAAAAAATAGGTTCCAAGCAAGCACTGTGAGGAATTGACTTTCGTTTGGGAGCGGAACCACTATACTTCACGCCATTGGTGCTGAGGTTAACACTGCGCTATCGCAATATGGGGGTGCATCTCCCTAGAACTGATGGGGAGCTTAGGATAGGTGAACATCCGGAAACGCCCCGTCCTGTTTGTGCGCGTACTGCGTCTTAGGCTAATAGTGCGAGAGTGTGGTGGCCTAGAAGAGTGAGCCCCATCTCGTGGGCGTATTTCCTTGTATGCGGTGGCTAGCAAACCGATTTCCTCAGAACACTGTATCAACTTTTGTCTTTATGGCACTGCTATGTGTCTAAAATTCCATGAGGGGTGTGGCATGCTGGTACCTTTTGAGAGCATGCGAGATATAGAGATCTGGCTAGATTTATTTACGTTCTGACTAAAAAAAGAAGATAAAGAAGTCTGAGAAAAGATCAATCATCACTGCGCATTTGTATCCCAACATCTGTAGCCTAATCTCAAGTCTCTCAATCTCCTAATCTGCTAATCTCCTATTTATTCCACACGTGGGAAGTATGAACGTAGCCGGGTGAAAATTCAGTTGGGAGGGAGGGGGCTTGGGGGGGGGGGGGGGGGGGGAGGCCACTCCATTTTTTCTCCAATACTCAAGATAAGGATTAGAGCGCTCATGACACGTAATCGACTCATTTAAAGTATACTTCTGATAAGTATCGGTGTAATGTGGAAGAAACCCTGAGATGTTTCACATTTCCGCCTGCCATGGTCCAAGGGAACGGTCCTGGACCAGGAGAATGGACACCTCCGCCTAGGGCTAAGGGTGGAGGAGCTCCAGGGTGGATCACCTGGTGCAGAAAAGTGGATGGGATGTGGGCAGGTAGTGTGGAATGTAGGACATCCACCGGTCCTTATCAAAAGTACGCTCGAAATGAGTCGTTTACTTATTTTATCCATAGTGTTAGATAGCCCAGAAGGAATGCTCCGTAGTACTATGGATAAGATAGCGAAGAGTGCCCTCCCACCTCCCCCCCCCCCCCCCAACTGGATTTTCATAGGAAACGGGAGCGGACGCATGCAATCTGGAAATCGTTCCTTATTTTGAGAGCGATGTTTTGATAGGCCTTTTGGAGCGCAAGCTAGCCTCCTCTGAAGTCAAGTAGTGTCATACAAGTGACCGATTTTCTAGTATCCTTTTGATATTCTTCGAGTAGAAGCTTTTTAAACTCACTTTCTTCCTTTGTCATTCTATGAACTATCAGCGGTGTTCCAGCGTCAGGAAACCGAAGCAACAACAAATCATTACCAACAGCAGCCTACGACTATCTCGGAGGTCAGTCAGTTTTTTTGGCTCTGCAATTGTCCTTTGTTACTCAGTTTCATAAGTGCTAATTCGACACCGGGGCAGGTTTTGACGATGATCGTCAGTAACTTCGCAGTGTAATTACTATTCTTTGTGATGTACCTGGACAAGTGAGTGAGTTGTTCATCATCAGAAGTGTTCAGAAAGCGCCAGAGCTTTATGAGATGTAGTTTGAAACCTTATTGGCCTTAGGCAAGCACAGACGAGTGTGCCAAGGTGATACCATGGAAAAGAGCGCTCGACCAACAAATACTCTAGGAAGTTCAAAGCCGCTCCTCGACGTTCCTTCAAAATGCCTAACAGGATGATATGGTATGCATGTCATAATCGCTGAACTTCAGGTCGGAATCGACCAGTACCTGAATCCCGATTGGGGAGCAGCGGCTCCGTCGTACGAAGTGCAATCGAAGTTGCATGTGATCACTGAGGCGCAGGACTTTGCCAAAGTAAGACTTTCAAACGGTTGTTCTATTTCTCACGAATCAGTAGCAATTGTTTTCATGGGTTCGGCTGGATCACCGCATAGTTTGAAGGGATTGCTTAGCCTTCGCAGGGTGGAATCCCGACCATACTAAACGAGCCTGCCAACCCATTAGCCTGACGCCCAAGGGCGGGGTTATTGTCTTGTCTTGGAGGAAGAAACATTGTTTTTGATGCATGGTAGGCTTCGGGTTGATAAGCAAGGCATGGGTTGCCTCAAGAAGCAGCATAATGGTTTGCGTCTACAAAGGTAGAACGATAGCTTTCAGAGGTGGGTAAACCTACCACAGCCAGGTTAATTTGGAGAGTAACTCACAATGGAGGGTCTCCAAAAACCCATGTGATTTTCTGGCTTTTCTGTCCTCTTCACTTGTTATTGTTCGTCATTAACACTACATAGGCTGTCCGGTTTCCCTGGCGGCACGTTTTTCCCCGGCTCCCATTAAGACCTGTTGCAAGACTTTTTCAGATTCGATACGTTTCTGTCTCTTCAACAATCCGGTCGACAAGGTTAATTTACCTTTCACCCACAACTGTTGCTGCTCATAAATTCTATCTAACCAGCTTTGTTGTTAGAGCGCCCTGTTCTTGCTATAAAAGCTTGCCATTCCTGTCAATATACCCCAAATGTGCCATCCGACAGCCACACCTTCCCGTAATGGTGTCCGATCTTATTCATAACTTCCCCGCAACTCTAGAGGAATTTCTTGCGGTAACTTCTTCAATAAGCGAAATAGAACTGTGTTAAAATCAATAAATAAGTTTGCACAAAATTTAAGTTCTTTCGTGGGAATCTGCCCTCAAATAGTAACTTCTTCAGACATAGAATATTTATAAATAGATTTCGTTTATTTGTTTAGTTATTATTTATTATTCATTTGCTTTATATTATTTCATACGTATATAAAGACATTCGTCAGTTGTAGCAGAAACACTGGGCACAGGACCCATAAAACTAGGTCAAATTAGAAGAAAGAGAAAAATTTCAACCGAAACAAAACAAAAACAAACAATAACCCAACCTAACCGTTATCTACTGCCGATAATCAATATATGGAAGCGTTTCAGATTACGGATTTTATATTTTTTGTTGCTGATCACATTGACATTTTTTTATGAGGCTCTGGTTTTATCATTCTCATTTTGCACCAATCCTACTTTGGGATGCAACCTGCATCCGCCCTACATGCTGCGGTTCCAGGCTTGGTTATCTTACTTGGTAGTTGACTCTGTTATGATTCATGTTTTGATAGTGAAGTTTCTCATTGATCCCTCGCGAACAAAAATATATGTATATGTATCCTGCTGCCCTAATTATGACGTGGATCCTACTATACTGATTCTTCGCCACCTCATCTAGGAAATCCAATACATCCAATATATTTATCCGGCTTTCTTAGTGTAAATGTGGTCCCAAGTGTAGCTGATTAAACTTCACTGCCTTTCATACGTGTTCCGTGTTTTTATTGTGCGCACCTTTGAGTGTAGTTCAAATAAATAAATAAATAAAATTAAATTCGTTGGTTCTTCGGAGAGTTGGATCATCTTCACGACAATCCTTTTGGGGGGGACAACCCAAAGCAGGGTTTTGTGACGTTTATGGACTAAGTATCATAACTTTTGGATTGGTCGGGCCGGTGATCTGAGAGTTTTTTTGAAGTTCGCTCGCAAAAATCGCTCGAGAAAGTCTGTATTCTTTGATAAAGGTTGGAAAAATTAATCGATGATCATGCGCTTGATCCGGATCTAAGAGGGGTCTTTCAGGGCAAGCCACGCTTTTTCAAACGGTTTCTTGCATATTGTAGGGATGCATGTAGGGAACACAAAACCATGTTTCATTTTCGCTGAACGGTTTTAGCAGTACCAAAAAAGAATAAGGTACTGTTAATGGTTCGATCCCCCGTGGCGACTAAATTTTGCATTTGGGTTGGCGCCTACGAATTGGTGCCAAATGCACTAAATGTCAAATCAAGGGTCATATTCTGGCCGCTAACCTAGATTGCAAGATTTAGTCGCCGCGGGGGTTCAAAACCATCAAGGGTATCATCACCCATTTTTGATACTAAAACCGTTCAGCGAAAACGAAACATGGTTTTATGATCCACACATGCGTCCCTACAAATAACTATTAACAAATTACTAAACCGTTTTCAAAAAGTGCGGCTTGCCCTGAAAGACTCCCCTTGTAAGTGCATTCCCGATTATGCGACCTGCATGCTATACTAATCCAGTGGGACTGATTCGCTTGGTTTTGTATATGAAGATTTAACACCTTATTTTCGCCGTGGCTCGCAGGTGTGTCTAGGCCAGAGGCATTCATGTGATCGCGACGCCTGAATTAAAGCCCCATTGACTTAAAATGGACTGCCAGCGCCGAGATGAATCTACTTTCTTGACCAATGTTTTTTTCTCGAATTGAAATTCAATCAAGTGCGGATCAACAAAGAATAACTGAACAGTATGCAGTCAAAAGCCGAACTGTTCCGGTTGAATAATAGGAAACCCTAAATATCTTAAAGGACGAATTCACGCTGGAAAGGCAACCCATTTCAAATTAGCGATGGTGAGTGGTACACTAAAGAAGGAAAACCATGAGAAACGGCCCAGAACCGAGAAATGGGACCCCTTTCCTTGCCCGTTGATTTGAGCATTGATGCGACTATCATCGCTGTGCCCTCTTCAAACTACGCTCTCTCACCTATCTAATCACTCGCCACGTATAGACCTGCGGCGAGTGATCAGGGGCCGGGTGCAGCAAGCCCCGACGAGGGGATGGGTACCGATCGGGGCTTGCTGCACCCAGCCCCAGGTGATCGGTGGGCATGCACTGACCCACCATGCGAAGATTGAGCCTTAATAGGTCGCTGAGGTCAGGCCCTTTCTTAGCCATATTGTGTTCAGTCAGACACCTTGGGAGTCCTTCAACTAGGCCAATTACTCCTTCTTCGACCTTCACTCTAATCGTGAATTCGTCCTTTAAAGTTCAATATTGCTGGCAGTGACTCAATTGAAAAATTATTCATATTTCTTATGGTTTTTTATTACATTCCTTCAAGTTTGCCCTTCATAGGCACCCTACAGCGGGCGGCAGTCATGGGCAGGCATCGAAATGGAGGCGCCGCCGGTGCCGTCAAGGATTGAGTCGATGGCGCTGCCAGGTTCACCCGTAGGTCGGCGAAAAACACTCCCATACTCTCCAGGTAACTACTAGTTCCGAAACAGCAGCTTTTGAGTCCTTTCAAAAATTCAAGTCACTGTCTTATACTTCCCTCAAGTGCACCTCTACTATAGAAGCTATTCTTCCAGTGCATCGCGCGTCACCGCCCAATAATGGAGCTCCACGGCTGCCGGAGCGACCTAAGCCCGAACGAGGTCAGCAGCTATCTCTTAATGTGGCTCTCCTAGATTTAGCTATACCTCATTTAGAAGCTCTTCCAGATGTCGCAACTCCCATTTGGCGAATAGAGATTCCTCTTCCCAGTGGTGTACAACCTCCGTCCCATTCACCTCCTCCTACTCCACCATCAAGTCAGCCGTCTCCTGTACCGAATCCGACATCGGCCACGACGTCACCGTCAGCTCCACAAACCACAGCTGGTGCTGCTGCTGGTCCTGCAGTGGTCTCGCTTGCTCCTCCTCCACCTCCACCGCCGCCAGGACTTCTCTCACCAGCACCCACTCCTCCTCCTTGTCCCGACCAGAAACAAGGATATACCGATGTCTCACCGATTTCCAATGATCGCAGGAGTTTTCTGGAGGTGCGTTCTTTTTTAAGCTGTCCGCTTGTTATCGTTGCTTACACTTAGGATTTGCAGGAGATCCAGAATGTCGACAAGGCCAGACTACGTCACGTTGCTCCATCCACGAAGTCCCTTCAGAATGGAGATGTAGGTTTTTAATATTCTTATACTGTACTATTTTTGGTCTTACATACAACAAGAGGTCAATTAGTCAGTCCAGTCAACTAAAGGCAAGCCCCGGGATAAAACTGGTGATAAGAGCGCTTCGTAGTGATGACTGAGCTGCGGAACGACCTGAAAGTGGAAAGGAAAGCAAGAGAAATCTTTGGGAACGCTGAAATTAAGGCCTTAACCTTCAATAAGGTCGGATGTGGTACGATGGCGAGACAGGGCGATCAAAGAAGACAAAACACGCGAGAGATCACGCCGTTCGAGAGAGCACACTGATCTCTACATCAATGGGGTGGGTGGGAAGCGTTGCAACGGGGTCGATGGTTGCAGCCCAAGGATTAGCGCCCTAACCGCGCAATTTTCGCGACGAAATGGAGTGATCTAGGTAATACGGACCTTACAATTTCTCTCACGGTATCCTTCTCACAAGTCGGGCTGATCCCGCGGTTTGCCTTCAAAGTAAGGTCTATATCTACGGACGTGCCTCAAGACGCTGAGTTCGAATTCGCTTTTGCTATCAGCAGAACGATTTTCCTGTGGGAGTTATGAACACAGCACGGCTCTAGTCTCCTTGACTCACAAGCAAGAGGTAGCAGGATCGACTCCTGTAGCCAGTATGCAAGGCCATAATTTTGTTCCTTCCAGAAATATGTTGAAAGCCTTTGTAGGTATCTTTTTTGAAAAAAAAACACAAGCACGGACTCGCAATTTAGAAGATCCCACGACCTCTTGTCTGTGAGTCAAGCTCACTATCGTAGTGCTTTCCTGCTTCATAAGTCCTTCGAGAAAACCGCCCCACAGATATCGAGAGTGAATTACTATTCAGCGCCTTGGGGCACTTGAATAAGAATAAAAAAAGGATAAAGCATTTGCCGTTGATCAATCCCTTTTTGGGATGCGGCACGCATTCTACTTCCATTTGTACATTCGTAGTGGCGTTTGAATGCGATGTGGCCTATACAATGACTTGCGGGGGCCAGCCGATGTACAAGTCAGTGTTTTTATCCTCCCAGACAAGTCTGGTACCAATTAACCGACCCCGGAGGGATGGAAGGCTTGGTTGGCCCGGGCGACTCACGACCCAGGATTTGATCCCCGGACCGCTCGCGTGGTAAGCGTGCCACTTGCCACTACACCACTTCCGCCCTGCATAAGAATACATCTCATTTTATTTAAATGGTTTGACTGACCAAATGACCTTTCTTTGCTTTCACCATTGTAGGAATAATGAGGTTCCTAATTTACTCGAAATATGTTTAGTCTCCACCTGGTGACGGTGGGCTTCTGTCAGCAATTCAAGCCGAATTGGACAAACGACGAGAATATATTGCAAGTGACAGCGATGAAGGTGAGCCGCAAATGTGTTCTAAACACAACCTCGGACCACAGGAGATAAAGGATAAAAGGATAAAGCATTTGCCGTTGATCAATCCCTTTTTGGGATGCGGCACGCATTCTACTTCCATTTGTACATTCGTAGTGGCGTTTGAATGCGATGTGGCCTATACAATGACTTGCGGGGGCCAGCCGATGTACAAGTCAGTGTTTTATCCTCCCAGACAAGTCTGGTACCAATTAACCGACCCCGGAGGGATGGAAGGCTTGGTTGGCCCGGGCGACTCACGACCCAGGATTTGATCCCGGACCGCTCGCGTGGTAAGCGTGCCACTTGCCACTACACCACTTCCACTGAAGGGAATAAGAGGTGGTATTCACCGCCACTATTACAAAAATATTCCGCGAAGCGAGTTCCTAAGACAACCTCGCCTGAGTGGTTTCCTGAGCCTCTTTAATTAGTTTTGCGCTTTGCTTGCGTACTCAGTCGTTGTATCTGTCTCTCCGTTTGGAAAATGCCCGTAGATGAAAATAATATGGTAATAGCTAACGTAAACTTTGTACCCCGTAACCATGTGGGTCTGCTGAAAACGCGCAGAAAACGGGGAACCCAGTCACGAAGAAGTGCAATCAAAATTGAAAAAACGGACTTTTAAGGTTTTCCTGAAACCAGTTCTTTCAGAGTCCGATTCAACTGACAGCGAATGGGCAGATTGATTGCGTTTCTGTACACATAGATTATTTACGAATAAATCTTATTGAGAACTGACGTGTTTGTTTACAAGGTGAAATCGTTTCAAATTAAAAAAAAACGTAACGGAGAAAGATATTCATGGCAAACGTTAGACATCGCTCATCTCTACCAATCTTCCTCTGGTTTCTGGGCTGTCCATTCAAAGAACGCCGAGCTCATCGGGGATGTATCTTCGTTACCTCATCTGCGAACTTGCTGCTCACCCTTCTGAATTTCTCTTGTTGTTGACCTGTTCTAGAACCGAACTGAGGTCTTTGGCAGCGCCTCCTGTGCACGCCCCGAAACAGAGGACAAAGCTCACTACCACGCAGCTCCTAGTTCACGTGCGCTTCGTACGTAATGGCACGTGTTCCACTCATTCCAGCTTCATCCAGACTTCCCAGGTATTGTATTCTTGAGCTAGTACCAAATTTCGTGACCCACTATCATATCACGGAATCTTGATTCTGATCGGGTACGTTTCTAGGATGTTCAAGGCATTCCAGTGAAATCTTCGGGGCGGATGGCACGAAAAGTTGCTCGTCGATGGAAATGAAAGGTACAGGAAGTAAAGGAATAGTGATGAAGAAGAAACTGTAGGGAACGACCGAAAATCTGCAAAGCCAAACCCTTGTTTTCTACGCGGAGTTTCGTTATGGGGGAATGACATCGTTGCTGACGTCATCAACGTGGACTATCTGCTCTGCCTCTCTGCTAAATCGGCTCGAGTCCGTCGGAGAAGG